TCACAGAGGTCAGAAGAGGGCTTTGGATTCCCCTGGAACTGGACTTAAGGACGGTTCGCAGCCGCCATGTGAGTGCTGGGAATCGAACCCGGGTCCTCTGCAAGAGCAGTCAGTGCTCTTAACCACTGAGCCATTTCTCCAGACCCTTATTTTATTATTTTTATTTTATGTGTCCAAGTGCATTGCCTGCATGTGTGCACCTGTTTCGTGCAATGCCTGCGGAGTTCAGAAGAGGGTGTTGGATCCCCTGGAACTGGAGTCATGGACAGTTGCTAGCCTCCATGTAGATTCTGGGAATTGAACCTGGGTCCTCTACAAGAGCAGCCAGTTCTCCTAACCACTAAGCCATCTCTCCAGCCCCCAAAGAAACAGTTTTTTAATACTGGATGTCAGATACCCAGGCTGACCTTGAACTTACTATATATATGAGGATAAACTTGAACTCCTGATCCTGCTGTCTTATCCTCCTGAGTGCTGGGATTACAGATGTGCATTACAGTACCTGGCCAACACTTAGAAAATTCTTATGGAAAAAGATTTATAAGTGAAAAGATAACTTATTCTAGGCCATCCTTAATAAGCACTGTGGACTTAGTTTCTTTTTATCATTTTTCACTCCAAAGGTTCCTTCTGTTCGTGTAGAGATACATATTCCTAGAGACCAGTCTGGGGAGGTGGACTTCCAAGCACTGGTTTCACAGTTGAAGGAGACCTCAAGTTTGCAGGAACAAGCTGATATACTCTATATGCTATATACGATGAAGTAAGTAATGGGCATTATCATTATACTTTAATGTTCATATTGTGCAGATGTATATCATGGTGTGTCACAGCTTTCCAATACTATTACAGATATCTCGGGTAATCAGCTTGTTTATTTGTAAGGCTCAAAAAAAGTTTATTTGTTACGCTCAAATAATTCCTTATTTTTAATATTAGTCTTTATAGAAAGGTATGCTGATATATAGCTTATCTTCATTTACTGCTCTTTCATCCTTCAACTCAAAATTGTTTTTTATTATTTATTTTACGTGTATGAGTGTATTGCCTGCATGTATATAAGTGTACCCGTGTTGTGCAGTGCCTGCAGAGGTCAGAAGAAGGTGACGGATCCCCTGGAACTGGAGTTACGGATGGTTGTTAGCCTCCGTGTGTGTACTGGGAATCGAGCCTGTACCTCTAAAAGAACAGTCAGTGCTCTTAACCACTGAACCATCTCTCCAACCCCTCAAAATTCATTTTTAACATAGTTCAAAAAGCTATCTTGTAGTTGGTAAGTGAGAATACAATGAAGAATTTAATGGTTTAGAATTTTCTCCTAAAGAAAGATCAGGTTTTTACTCCTGTTTAATATGGTTTGTACTGTGTCAAATACCTAACTACTCTGAATTGTTATTCGAGAGTTAAAGCTATAAACAATCTTTAAATAATGTATTTTTAACCTGAGATATATTGTTGATTATTTTAACTATATAAAAATTACCTGATTTTCATATGGAAAGAAAAGAAAATATTTCATTTTGGCTCAAAGCTTTGGCAGTTTCATTCCATGATTGGTTGGTCCTCTTGCTTTGGGGTCTGTAATGAGGTGCCACATCATGGCCCGGACATAAGGAAAAACCATTCACTTCATGACCAGGTTGCAAGAGAGGAAAAAGGGCAAGAGAACACAGTCCCAATATTTCCTGCAGGGCACACTTCAGTAACCTAAATTCCTAAAACTAGGCCCTATCTCTTAAAGGTTTCCACCACCTCCCAGTAGTTGCATAGACTGAGGGCCAGCCCTTTAACAAGTGGGCCTTTGGCAGATGGGGGCTTCCAGGTCCAAACTATAGCATACAGTAAATGGAGCACAGCATTGGAATTTCACTTATGTGGATTTACTACTATTTAGCAATATGATCATGGTGTGACTTCAAAGCCTGAGTTGTCTACATTTACAAAATGTGGATTATGCCAACCTCATAAAAATTATTATAAGGGGACAGGAGAGATGGCTGAGCGGCTAAGAGCACTGATTTCTCTGGCAGAGGACCTGGGTTCAATTCCCAGCACCCACATGGCACCTAACAGCTGTCCATTAACTCCAGTTCCAGGGGATCTGATGCCCTCTCCTGACTTCAGGAATTGCACAGCATAGGTGCCCTTACATACATGCAAGCAATATTCTCATACACATCAAATAAAAATAATAAATAAAATATTTTTTAAAAATTATCATGAGTATCTATAAAGTCCATAATACAATGCCTGGCACATAGTAGGTAATCAATAATTGGTATTACCATATTTGGTTCTTAGCCTTAATTACTTTTCCTGTGTTTGTGTGTGTACATGCATGTGCACGCTTGTGTATGTAGGTGTTCATGTTGGAGTATGCGTGCGTGCGTGTGTGCGTGCGTGTGTGTGTGTGTGTGTGTGTGTGTGTGTGTGTGTAGACCAGAAACCACCCTCAGACGTTGTTCTTCAGGCACTGTCCATGTTGTTTTCTGAGGCACAGTCTCAATGGCCTAGGGTTACTGATAGCCTAGGCTGACTGGCCAGCAACCCCAGGTATCTCGACCTCCCCAGATCTGGTATTATAAGAGTGTGTCACCACATCCAGCTTTTTTACATGGATCTGGAAATCTAACTCAGGTCCCCACACTTGTAAAGCAAGCATTTTGCCAACTGCACTATCTCCCCAGCCTGCACTATCTCCCCAACCTTATATTCTTAATGCAAAAGAAAAAAAGGAGTTGGGCATGGTGCTCATGCTTATAATTCCAGAACTGGGGAAGCTGAGGCAATATGATGATTGCCATGTGTTCAGAACCAGCTTGGATTTCATATTGAGAACTGAGCCACCCTTGGCTACAGAGTGAGCCTCTATCTCTACCCTCTTCCCAAATAAATAAATAAAAACATAGAGGCTTATCAGAAAAAGAAACCACATTCTTTAGTGTTTGCCTATGAGTCAGTCTTCAATTCAGTATGTCCAAATTGAACTCTTTCCTGCCCACCCAACCTACACAAAGTAACCTGTTCTTTTTATGTTGTGATGACCACAAAGAAGTGGGATGAAATTTCTCAACTAAATGTGGTTTGAATGCCAAGCCTGCAGATGCCATACACATATATGAAGAGAGTGTGAAGTAATGGAGATTTCTGGGGAGAGCAAAGGTTCCCAAGTTTCTTCTGAAAAGCTTGAGAGAACAGGGAAAGGAGAGCAGATCTGGGGTTTTGATGTGATTGGGGGTGAGAATGGAGTTAGGTTCTCACTAGCACCAATTAAAGAGTACTTGGAATTTCTAGACAAGATGAAGTAGATGAATTCCTCCCTGTTTTCCTGCCAAATTCAGTACATGATTCATGAAAGTCTTTTTCTCTCATATATCCTGTACGGAGTCAGCCAGCAACCTGAAAACATCAGTGAACACAAATATCAAATGCCCTAAGGAAAAAATATTTCTTTTCAACAAAGGACTAGTAAAAAGGCTGCTAAACCAGACAGACAACTTTAAAGACAATAACCACTCTATGCCTGCCAAGCATCACAGGAAAAAAAAACAACAGAGGATCCATCCCAGTAAACAAGGATGTATAGGAAGCCCAGACAGTATTCTTGCCCGGTCTGAACAAGGCAGGTGCTATTTTACCTTCCCACTGCCACAGTGTGTCACTGAATGCCAAGGAGGGATCTGGGACTTTCATCCCTGAGTGGAATGGGGCCTTCTTATAGTGGAGCATGATTAGCATGAGCTTCCATCCCCACCCAATGATGGGGCACCCTTCTCCACTAAATGGTGTCAGAGACGGCCTAGTGGGTCAGGACTTTGATCACTCAGTGCTAATAAAGGGTCAACAGTAAGAAGGCAACCCTTGCCCTCTCCAGGGTGGTATGAAAAAAAGCCTAGTGGGGAGCTTGACTTTCCACCATTGTTCAGCAGTAATGGGACACTCTTTCTGCTGTGTATAAAGGAAGACTGAATGGGGAAGCCACAGTCATTCCCACCAACCTGTAACAGGGCAGTACCCCCTTTCCCTAGTGGTACAGTGTCAGAATAGGCCTGCTGGGACAGATTTAATAGGATCCAGATTATTCCACCATATTACCCCAAATGTCTAGGATACCAATAAAAATCACTTGTCACACCAAGAACCAGAAAGATCTCAACTTGAAAAAAGTATTTAGTGAAGAACACAAACTTCATTATTATAGAAATCAAGTTTGGCAGGTCAAGAAATGGTTTTGAAATCCAATGAATCCTAAAATCAAGAAGGTGTACTTAAGACACTAATGGCCCCAAAGTGACCTACTTACTAATGGGAAAGAATTATTAGCCAGTTACAGTGCCATGTGACACTAATCTCAGCACTTGGGAGGCTGAAACAGGAGGAATACAAATGTGTAGCCATCCTAAGCAATGTGGCCAGGCTGGCTTCCATCTCAAATAAACACTAAAAAATTAAGAAACCACAAAAAAAACAGCAATTTAGCCTTGGTCCTTTCTGTTTTGTGTATTTCCCCAAATCTTACCTCATATGTTAGCAATAACTAAGCTGTGAGCCATGAATACCCCAAACCACTGCTCCCCCTTAGTAAAGAACATCCAGACCCCCCTACAGGGCTACTGAGGAATACCGTCCAGATGTATAACAACATCCCTAACTCCCCTGCTCCTTCTGAGAACCCCCTTGCCTTATGCTCTTCTGAGTGATAGAGTCTGGACAAAACTCTTTTTCCATACCCCACCTCTGCTTGCAGGAATCCTCTATCCCATTAAAGCCTATTTCGTCTATCACCTCCATGAAACTGTCTCTGAGAAAACAATTTTCTGATCTATCTACAGATAATTAGATTTGTATGTACTTTTAAATCATGTGCATGTATATGTCTGTGTGTAAGTATGTGCACAGGACTGCAGGTGCCCATGGATGCCAGAGGTGTCAGGTCCTTCTGAAGCTGGAGTTAAAGGAGGTTGTAAGCCATCCAATGTTGGTGCTGGGAATTGAACTTGGGTCCTCTGCAAAAGCAGTACATGTTCCTAATTGCTGAACCATATCTCTAGTCCCAAAGGACTTTTTTTTTAATATCCCTAAATTTTGGTTTGTGTGACATTTCCTCTTGAGTAAATGCAGGATATGCATTTTCTAGAGCACTTTCTTTTAATTCTATGTTTTTATATTTGATATTTGAATAGATAATACATTGTCGTAGTTCAACATTTTTTAAATATACAAAGATATATAATGAAGGGGTCAGATCTTTTCCCACCTCTGATTCTAAATATCCAGCTTACTTGTGGACAATCTGTTGTTTGTGTCTGTGCATTATCTTGGTATTTTATGCATATATATTAAGATAGACATATATGTGAATATATATATCCCTCCTTACCTAAACTTAGCATAGTACATACACTGTTCTTTCATATCTTGCTCTTCCTTACCTAAATTCTGTATTTTTTTGTCTTTTTGAGACAGGGTCTCCCTGTATCCCCAGCTGGCCTGTCACTCACTATGCAGACCAGGCTGACCTAGCTCTCACAGAGATCCACCTGCCTCTGCCTCCTGAGTGCTGGGACTAAAGGCGTACACCACCAAGGCTGGCCTCAAACTCTATCTTAAAGATCACTACATATACATTCCAGTTACCTATTGCTTTATAACATGTCTCTGCAATACTATGCGACTTTAAAAAAAAATTTAGAATTTTAGAAATATCTTTACTAATTCTTGGCTTGCCCAATCTTGACTAAGAAGTTCTCTCTAAGGGTCTCT